CTTTCTGCATCTTGCAATGAAGAAAACAGACAGACTGACTTCCGTGACATGACTTTATCTATGGGAAAATGTCTAATGAGGGTGATGATGTACAGCCTGGTTGGCTTTCACTAAAGATGAATATTTTAGAGTCAGTATAATCATTTCTGATGAAATTATAACCAACCTTAAATATCTAAACCAAAAATTATCTTTTTAAAAGAGAAAAACTCAGCAGCAACTGTCTTTTCCTATGTCGGCTTCAGGACTGGAAAACAAAACGTTATTTATCAGGCCTGTGGTTGTTTAAAAACAGGACAGGTCTCGTTTTGTTCATTTCCTGCTGTCACCATGTTCCATAATGTTATGGACGGACCTTGAGATGAAAACTGAGGCAAATCCAGAGAGAGAAAAGGGTCCAAACATGGTCTGACACAGTAGTTGTAAAATGCGCACAGGTTTTAGTCACAAACCAAATTCTCTATTTCCACAGCAGCCACTCGGAGAGATTAGCTTCATCTCTTCATGATTTTGTGGTATGTTGCTTTGTCCCTGTGCCATGAATGTCTGAGGTTCTGACCAAGACAGAGAAAAGGTGACGGTTGCTCTGATTTATGAAAATGTAAACAAAACAGCAACTTATAGAGGAAAAAGAATGAATAATATAATCCAATGGGATAAAATATAAACTTATGTGTCAGTTTAATCTGAATTAGATTTCACTAAATAACGAAAACTAAGAGAATTAGATTTTCCTTTCCTCCAGAAAATTATTAATACACATGTATATCACTTAAAACATATGATCAATGAAATCAGCGATTTTCATCCCTTAAGTGTTTAAAATAAATGTTACCCTACAGATCACTAAATATATGGGATGTAGTTTGGAAAAACGCAACTAAAATATATAAAAGCTATGAGTTTATTAACTAAAATGGCAGATTTGCAAAAAATAAATAATTAATTCCTGAAAGATTTGAATCAAAGTGGCATGTTTTTCTGAGGGTGAAATAATATGAATAATAATTTTTGGCACATTTAAAAAGAAGTATGTTTACAAGAGAATGAAACCTAAAACCTACTTATTGGATTTAAATCTAGGATGATAAAAAACAAAAAAACATCCTAACTTTCAGAATTAGGACTGAAATAGCACCTGACATAAAGTTATAAATGGTTAATAATGCTTTCTACTGGGACTGGGACATGAAAGGCGATTAGGAGTTTTCACCTGAGAACCCAAAAGACCCCCCCCTTTATCTACACATATAGATTTATTTACCTTTAAAGTTTAATCTAAATCTTAATTAATTAGCAAAATAACTAGTATAAAAATGAATTAGGCTGATTAAATTTGATTTTAAATTATTGAAAATTTATTAAGAAGTAAATATATCTTAAAGGAATAGTACACCCAAAACATGATTAGCCTTCATTTTCTACTCACCTCCATGCTGAACAACACTCTGGAGTACTTTTTTGATATCTCAAATGCATCTGGAGATCTGGGAGGCTTCTTGCTGTCTGCTGACATTCAAATAATGGAGGTCTATGGTGACCGAGACAGAAAGGTCCATAAAAGTCCACAAAAAAGTGTCAATATTCCTCCATACTGCTCGTCCAATGTAATCCAAGTGTCCTGAGTGGGTAGCATCCAGAATTTACTCGAAACGAAGTCATTTAGAATGTTTTTAGAGCATAAACAGTAGTGTATAGGATTTCCTAATAGCGCCCCCATGCGCGCTCACGATTCTACGGAAGCCGGCAGACCAAACCGGAAGAAAGTGCGCATTCAGCGTCTGGTCTGCCGATAATGCAAGCGTAGAAGAAGAAATGTGCTGTTTACCTGTGCAAAGAAAGAAACAACGAAAGAAAAATGTCTGAGGACTTCAGTGTTGAGGAAGAGCATGAGTTCTTTGCCGAGCTGAATGCGCTGGTTTGGTCTGCCGGCTTCCGTAGAATCGCGAGCGCGCATGGGGGCGCTATTAGGTAATCCTATACACTACTGTTTATGCTCTAAAAACATTCTAAATGACTTCGTTTCGAGTAAATTCTGGATGCTACCCACTCAGGACACTTGGATTACATTGGACGAGCAGTATGGAGGAATATTGACACGTTTTTGTGGACTTTTATGGACCTTTCTGTCTCGGGCGCCATGGACCTCCATTATTTGAATGTCAGCAGACAGCAAGAAGCCTCCCAGATCTCCAGATGCATTTGAGATATCAAAAAAGTACTCCAGAGTGTTGTTCAGCATGGGGGTGAGTAGAAAATGAAGGCTAATCATGTTTTGGGTGTACTATTCCTTTAAGCTGATCTGTAATAACTATACAAATATATTAAACCTACACTACCGTTCAAAAGTTTGGGGTCACATTGAAATGTCCTTATTTTTGAAGGAAAAGCGCTGTACTTTTCAATGAAGATAACTTTAAACTAGTCTTAACTTTAAAGAAATACACTCTATACATTGCTAATGTGGTAAATGACTATTCTAGCTGCAAATGTCTGGTTTTTGGTGCAATATCTACATAGGTGTATAGAGACCCATTTCCAGCAACTATCACTCCAGTGTTCTACTGGTACAATGTGTTTGCTCATTGGCTCAGAAGGCTAATTGATGATTAGAAAACCCTTGTGCAATCATGTTCACACATCTGAAAACAGTTTAGCTCGTTACAGAAGCTACAAAACTGACCTTCCTTTAAGCAGATTGAGTTTCTGGAGCATCACATTTGCGGGGTCAATTAAACGCTCAAAATGGCCAGAAAAAGAGAACTTTCATTTGAAACTCGACAGTCTATTCTTGTTCTTAGAAATGAAGGCTATTCCATGCGAGAAATTGCTAAGAAATTGAAGATTTCCCACAACGGTGTGTACTACTCCCTTCAGAGGACAGCACAAACAGACTCTAACCAGAGAAGAAAAAGAAGTGGGAGGCCGCGTTGCACAACTGAGCAAGAAGACAAGTACATTAGCGTCTCTAGTTTGAGAAACAGACGCCTCACAGGTCCCCAACTGGCATCTTCATTAAATAGTACCTGCAAAACACCAGTGTCAACATCTACAGTGAAGAGGCGGCTGCAGGATTCTGGGCTTCAGGACAGAGAGGCAAAGAAAAAGCCATATCTGAGACTGGCCAATAAAAGAAAAAGATTAAGATGGGCAAAAGAACACAGACATTGGACAGAGGATGACTGGAAAAAAGTGGTGTGGACGGATGAATCCAAGTTTGAGGTGTTTGGATCAGAAAGAACGTTTGTGTGACAGAACAAATGAAAAGATGCTAGAAGAATGCCTGACGCCATCTGTTAAGCATGGTGGAGGTAATGTGATGGTCTGGGTTTGCTTTGTTGCTGGTAAGGTGGGAGATTTGTACAGTGTAAAAGTGATTCTGAATAAGGAAGGCTATCACTCCATTCAATTTCATCCTACAACAGGACAATGACCCTAAACACACCTCCAAATTGTGCAAGAACTTTTTAGAGCAGAAGCAGGCAGCTGGTATTCTATTGGTGGGGACAGTGATTGGCCTCCATGTTCTGAATGCTGATGATGAACAGTTTAGTTTGTGCCTTCAAGTCGTTGCCCATAGGAAGACGTTACTTGGATATAACCTAACAGAATATCTTCAGAACGGCTCCATTGAGCTTGACGCAGATATTTTTGATTTATGCTCAACTTTGAAGCGTGGTCTGCGAAACGTTATTATTCCACGCCACAACGTAGGAGGTACAATCATGAACTAGTTGTGGGTCTAGATACAGCTGAGGCAGCGAGGAAGTGGGGGCAAGTTTGTCCGACAAAAGAGGGACATGAGGGCAAAAATGCTAGAAGGTGAAAAAAGGGTCTCAGCGTGCAACTCGCTCTTCTAACTGGTCCAACTTCACCAATTGTTTTTTTCGCAATTGTAGTCATATAAAGAAAAAAAACAAGCCGGCAAGCGGATGTAGATTTGACCAATCAGAGGCCTCCTGTCTGCGGCACCGTCTGTGGTCACCTACAATTTGGGAGAGGTGCAGCAGAGTGTCTGCGGAGGGGGCGGGGACGTCTTTGCATTCACTGCGTCACCTACACAGACTACCTAGTTTTGAAGTATAAATCAGCCTTTAGGGTCCTTCACAGTGACGCACAGTTGCTTTACTGCGGACTGAAAAGTCAAATAGGAGGAGCCTGAGCTGCATGAATCTTTGCATGAGAGTAACAGGGAAAAGATTGAACTTGTGTTTCGAGATTGAAGCCAATATTTGTTCTGCAGAATAATGCAATAAAATGTAATATATGTTAAATTAACCCTGTCTTTCTTTGCATTACCCATATTGTGTCTTAAGAAGAGGGGCATTATGTATTTTTACAATATTTTTGAATCTTTCTCTACTTATTGTGTCTAGAGTTGGAGTCAGAAAAGGTTGAGAATCTAGCTCTGTAATGAGGTCAGCGAAGACAGTGTGCTAGATAAAAAGCTGGATCAGAGCAGAATGGGATGGTGCTCAGGCTTTCTGGAATGCACCTCCCTTTTATTTTGGCCTTCTGTGTTAAATGTGTGTGCATAACCTCATTTGGGGATTATCCATAGTGTCACAGTGGAGCTAGTGCTCCAGCAGTCTTTGGGCAAAAGGTGCAGTAAAACCTGAACAGTTCAGAAAACGAAAGCTAAAAAATATTTTTAACATTTCTTTAATAAAGAAATGTTTAAAATATTTTTTTGATTTGATTCCCGGCCCGGGGTCTTTCTGCATGGAGTTTACATGTTGTCCCTGTGCATGCGGGGTTCTCTCTGGGTACTCCGGCTTCCTCCCACAGTCCAAAAACATGACTGTTAGGGTAGTTGGCCTCTCTAAATTCTCCTTTGTTGAACTGTAAAGTGCCTTGAGATGACTTGTGTTGTGACTTGATGCTATATAAATAAACTGAATTGAATTGAATTTATATGTAGTTAGATCAACACACAGATCAAAGTGAAGTGTACTTTTTTAACCTACAACAGAAAGTGTTTCTGCTGTTTGTCTTTCTAGACCATCTACAGGATTATGTTGGAAAAGAGGAGGATTTCTCTGACCAGCAGCTCTATGAACAAGAGAGGAATTCCAGTTCGGGCCAAGAGGAACCAGAACCTCTGCAGATAAAAGAAGAGCAGAAAGAACCAGAACATCCCTGGACAAAAGAGGAAACCATGGAGCTCCCCATAAGTGAGCAGGAAGAGCAGCTTGTTCTGAAGCAGGAGACTGAAGATACAGGAGAGAAACCTTCCCCATGTTTAAAATCTGGAAAAGACTTTTTAAAAAAAGAACCTTTAATTGTTCACATGAGAACCCACACACATAAGAAGATTTATAAATGTCCTTCCTGTGGAAAAATGTTCACAAAAAAATCTGATCTTGATAGACACATTAGAAGTCACACAGGTGAGAAGCCTTTTTCCTGTACCATTTGTAACAAGAATTTTACTGAAAAGGGAAATTTGACTATTCACATGAAAATTCACACTGGTGAGAAGCCTTTTTCCTGCACGATTTGTGGCAAACGTTTTACTTTAAAACATTGTTTGACTGGACATATGAGAATTCACACTGGTGAGAAGCCTTTTGAATGTCTATCCTGTGGAAAAAGCTTCACCTCCAAGTCAGATCTTGTTAATCACATCAGAATTCACACAGGTGAGAAGCCTTTTTGCTGTACCATTTGTAACAAGAATTTTACTAAAAAAGGTAATTTGACTACTCACATGAGAAGTCACACCGGTGAGAAGCCTTTTTCCTGTACCATTTGTAAAAAAAACTTTGCTAAAAAAGGAAATTTGACTACTCACATGAGAAGTCACACCGGTGAGAAGCCTTTTTCCTGTACCATTTGTAACAAGAATTTTACTAAAAAAAGTAGTTTGACTAAACACAGTAGAATTCACACAGGTGAGAAGCCTTTTTCCTGCACGATTTGTGGCAAACGTTTTACTTTAAAACATTGTTTGACTGGACATATGAGAATTCACACTGGTGAGAGGCCTTTTTCCTGCACGATTTGTGGCAAACGTTTTACTTTAAAACATTGTTTGACTGGACATATGAGAATTCACACTGGTGAGAGGCCCTTTGAATGTCCTTCCTGTGGAAAAATGTTCACAAAAAAATCCGATCTTGATAGACACATTAGAAGTCACACAGGTGAGAAGCCTTTTTCCTGTACCATTTGTAAAAAACGTTTTACTTTAAAACATTGTTTGACTGGACACATCAGAATTCACACTGGTGAGAAGCCTTTTTCCTGCAAGATTTGAGGCAACCGTTTTACTCTAAAAAGGTAATTTGACTAGAGAGACACATGAGAATTCACACGGATGAGAGGCTGTTTTCCTGAATGATTTAAAACAAAGACTTTAAACAAGAGGGTAATTTGAGTAGTTAGATTACAATATTCATGCATGATGTGGAATGATTTATATTTTAAAAATAAATTGCAATACATAAGTCATAGCAGTTAGTGGTCACAGGAATTAACAGTTGAGGCGTTTTCTTGACTAGTGATGAAATGTCCATCTAGAAACTCCTTCACCTCATAACATGAAAAACTCAAAGGTTAATGGTCTTTTTGGAGCAAAGTTTTGAGAGAACCAATTAATGAAGAGCTCTTTTCACATAAAAACTAGAACAGATAAGCTGTTATACTGTAAACCTGGTAAATATTAAGGTCCTGGTTGAATATGGATGTGAAAATTTGAAAGTTAATTATTTTGGGCTACCCTAACAAAAAAAAAAAAGTTTTTACATTCAAAATGTCTTACATTTTCTGTAATTAGGGAATAATCATAATAAAGTGCAACAAAATTATCTTGGTTACAGATGAAGCAAGTTTTGTGTCCATACAACAAGCCATTGAGAAGTTATAGTTTAAGTTTAAATTGGAAAGAATCCAGACGGACCCATACTGTGCCATTTTGGCATGGTGTGGCACAACTTTTTCTGAATGAATTTATTCATTTATCTTTTAGCTGAATGATAAGCTATTGCTTGGATATACTGCAGGAACAAGACTTTTATTCAGATGAAAATATCCTCAGATGAAAATAAAAGCAAAGGTAGGACAGATTTAATGTGCTTTGCTCAGTTTTGCTGATTATTTTGGAGGATTTTTTAAGAATTCAGCTGCAAATGATCAGAGTTTAGCTAATTCAGTGTCTTGTTGGCTTTCATTAGCAATGCATCAATCAGCCCTGCTACGTGTGTTGTTGAAACCAGGCCCACCAAAACTCCAACTTTATTTGGCTCAGTGTTAGAGCTATGGTCAATAGATATTAGAATGAAGTAGATCATCTATAGAGGAGTCTCAGATGAAGATTTGGGACATATAGAAGTGTGTGTCAGTCTCAGAGTTAGTCAGCTACAAGCTAATTAATGTTGCAAAGTAGCTCCAGCCACCTTGAAAGGGGGTGCTGGGATTATGGGGTTAAACTACGGGACATCAAAGAACTCAGTTTAGAGGCTGGAGTCTGTAGTTCAGGTAAATTGAAGTCCTAAAATGATGAAACATGTTTGTTTAAAAAGATAAACTAGATTGATGATGTTGCTGTTATTTTTACTGATCAGTTTGAACCTGCTTTAACTCGGTAAAAAGCCTTTGTCTTAATAATGTATTAAAGAAATCTGACTCTCCTCTAGAAGTGTGAAGTTTCTGCTTTTTAAAGATTTTTGAAATTATAATTTTCCTTTGAACTAATTCTAATAGTTTTGTCCTTGATTCTGTAGATGTTCTATTTACCTGCTATGATTGAAAGTAACTATCACCTATTTTATACAACTGATTTTATGGATTATATTCTGCTGTGGATGTTTTTAATGATTGTAATCACTTCTAAATTGATGAACGAGCAGCAATAAAACCATGGATTGTAAAAATGTGTTTCTTTATATGGTTTCATATAAATTAAAAACAATCTTTTTCGAAGTTTTCTCTGATATTTTCAGCCAAACTAAAACTGTAAAATAAATAGTTTAATGGCATTCACCTTCTGTCTTCTCCAGTCTTTCCTGTTGCTCCTCCATCAGCATTAATCTGTTTGCTTTTTAGAGCCTGAGTTCAAATCTGGCCATTGGATAAATCCTCCTTTGCTTGTTGGAGAAGTTATCCATCCATCCATCCATCCATCCATCCATTTTTTCCGCTTATCCGGGATCGGGTTGCGGGGGTAGCAGCTTCAATAGGGAGGCCCAGACGTCCCTCTCACCAGCCACTTGGGCCAGCTCCTCCGATGGAATCCCAATGCGCTCCCAGGGGAGCCAAGAAACATAGTCCCTCCAGCGTGTCCTGGGTCTCCCCCTGGGCCTCCTCCCGGTGGGACGTGCCTGGAACACCTCACCAGGAAGACGTCCAGGGGGCATCCTAATTAGATGCACGTGCCACCTCAACTGGCTCCTCTCGATGTGGAGGACCAGTGGCTCTACTCTGAGTCCTCCCCGGATGGTTGAGCTCCTCACCCTATCTCTAAGGGAGAGCCCAGACACACTACAGAGAAAACTCATTTTAGCCGCTTGTATCCGGGATCTCATTCTTTCAGTCTTGACCTAAAGCTCATGAACTATAGATGAGGGTAGGAAAGTAGATCGACCCGTAAATTGAGAGTTTTGCTTTTTGGCTCAGCTCTCTCTTCACCACAACAGACCGTTACAGGGCCCGCTTCACAGCAGATGCCGCACCATTCCGCCTATTGATCTCCCGCTCCATCTTCCCCTCATTCATGAACAAGACCCCAAGATACTTAAACTCCTCCACAAGGGGCAGTACATCCTCCCCAACCCGGAGAAGGCACTCTACCCTTTTCCAGCTCAAGGCTCTGTTCGAAAACCTAGGACGTGTCCTCCAAGGACGCGGTCTACCTAGACTGGATCCTTCGAAGTCCTTGAAAATAAGGAGACCGGAAGAGTTTAGGCTGTGAATTCGACCAGGTCTACCCTTCGGCGGGTTTTACCGCCGTATGCTCTGTTGCTTAGCAACCGTAAACGTTGACACACAAAGCAGGAAAAGAATGAATACAGAAGTTTTCAAAACTGTTTATTTCTTTTTTATTGTGAAGTGAACAAAGACTACACTCACAAGAATCCAGAGTGGAATAAAGGTTCCAACCACCGGGAGCAGGAACAAATCAAATCAAATGTAATGATAGAAACCTTAGTCAGTTAAATAACCTGCTGCTGTCATTCTGCACATCTCTGATGTTGCTGCTATTTTCAAATATCTATTACTGTAAAAATGTCCATAGCTGCATATTGGTTATTTATTCCCCAGTTTTATATTGTTAAAACACTTTACAGGATTGTATTGTTTATATTTTAACTCTTCCCTATTATGTTATTCTTATACATTTTTCTAAGGTCCTCATTTGTGTGACCATTTTCAATAATCTTTCTGCTGCTGTACATTTGCCCATTGTGGGACAATAAAGGCATTTTCTATTCTTTAAAAGGGCTAGAAAGGTATAAGTAAATCTAAACAATGTATTTATAAAAAATATATCTGCAAAATCTCTAATATTCAACAACAAAAATACGTAGTTAAGCATATTGTGCAAAACAGCAATAAAAAAATAAAATCCTATCAGATTTATAGTCCCCACTCTGCAGATATATTAGAATCTGTCCTTAGATTCCAGCCAAACCCATTTACACAGCAACAGATAAAAACCTTTAGATAAACCAAACATTACCGCCACATATCTGACTCAATAACCATTAAAACAACTACTTTCATTCATTTCATACGGAACTATTAAATGACTTGTATTATATTAAACTGTACTTCCAATTTTCACCAGTGTACGGCGCCAAGTAACCTTTACTCTGATCACAGCTTGCTTGGTCTCGCAATGAATCCTGGGATATCCAAGAATACCGAGGATACATCGGACCCGTCCTTCAAATCGGGCAAAAAGAAGGACGCATTTTAAGGCCGCATAACGAGGACTCTTGGAATCCGACCAGACCTCGGCGCCGCGCTATGACGTAATCGGCCTTCGAATCCGGTCTTCTAAGGATGCGTCCTAGGTTTTCGAACAGAGCCCAAGACCATGGTCTCGGATTTGGAGGCACAGATCCTCATCCTCGCCGCTTCACACTCGACTGCGAACTGCTCTAGTGAGAGCTGTAGATCACGCCCTGATGAAGCCAACAGAACCACATCATCTGCGAATAACAGAGATGCGATCCTAAGGCCACCAAATTCTTTGGCTGTGCCTAGAAATTCTGTCCATAAAAGTTATGAAGAGAGTCAGTGACAAAGGGCAACCATGGCGGAGTCCAACCCTCACCAGAAACGAGTCCGACACTACTGCCGGCAATGTGGACCAGGCTACTTGTGCTTACAGTTTGAAGTGTAAACAAAAAAATACTTCTAATTTTTTCAATTCTACAATTAAAAGACTTATAATGTAATTACTTATAATGTAATTATCTCTGCAACTTCAAATCCACACTTACCTTCACCTTTATAGCGCTGCAGCTTATTACTGACAGCTTGAGACAGATAATATCTGTCTGCTTACAGCGCCATCATTATCTGTCACATGTGGTCCCTAGGAGGTAAAACTAAAATGCAAGTCTGAAGAAACCTCTATTTTCTTTCTGCTCTGTTTTCTAAGATGAGAGAAATACGAAGAGTTCTTCTCAGCCTCCTGGATCCATCAAGCCCTGTAGCAAATGATGGTCCCCTGAACTTTGTCTAGAAAGAAGTTATTAATTTAATTCTGCAAGTTGAAGCTGCTCCTCAGATGATAGAATTGATTTCCTACATAAATTGTTAATATAAACCTGCTGTGATTGTTTTTCTCGCGTAAATTTTATAAAACTGTTTACTAATCCTGATCGTAACTTTCTTTTCACTAAATTTGTGCTATTTATATTAACTCAAAGGTGAAACTTCCATCAATGAAATATTCTTAATGCGGTTACTAGGTTCTGACAGATATCTCTGTTATAACAGAGGGTAGTTAAATCACCAAATAAAGGATGATGGTGATTTCCATTTAGACAAAGAGAGAACAAAAGTGTAGCGGCACTCCAGCTCCTTTGGTTTCTTCTGTACTGCATGGAAAAACAGTCTAGCAACAAGTACTGAAACACGAGCAATTCAAGATAATGTTCTTCAACTTGTAATGTTTATTAAAAGAAAACAAAAATAAGAGAACATCCACATTCGTATAATATAAACTCGGTCAAAAACTGTGTTGCTTCCAGCATATCTTGTTTTCCCCTCAGTCCTTACGTACAGTACGTAAAATCAAACAAAAAAAAACACGTATACAATTACAACATGCAGGAAGCCCAAAAACATGCATTTCAAATTGCATTTCTATATTCTATGCTTTTAATATTAGAGTTTTTTTAAACTTCAATTATAATCTTAACAAACAAAATGATCAATCTTGTATTTTAACCCTTTTTAAAACTATAAATAAATTTGTCTCAAATTGGCTCTTTCAAAAAGTAACAGATTAAGTTACTTCTCACGTTCCTCCTTGAAAACTGTTCCACAAAACAGGCAGAAAGGATGAAAGTAAGATTCTGCAGTGATATCAATGTCTCTGAGTGAGGTAGGTCAGAAAACACAGAGCGGATGTGAAGACATGGAAGAGGCAGCCGTGATCGTATAGCGGTCAGTACTCTGCTTTGTGGCCGCAGCAACACATTCAATTTGGTTTTTTATTACTTTCAGCATTAAACTACATGAACTGTACCATTTATCAGTAACTTTTAACATAGAAATATTTCGTTTTGTATTATAATCATAAATTGATTTCAGAAGAACATATAAAAGGAGACATGGCAGTTAAACCAAAGTTTCATTAAAAAATTAATTCTTAATTTTAACAATTGTCAAACATACAAATGACTGGATTATTTGTGTTTAGATAAAGAGCCTTTATCTCCAAATTGTCTTGTGCCTAAAAACCCATCAGGAGGCTCAGTGAATCTCCCTAATAAAGTTCAAAAACATGAAGTAACATGATCCATAAACTGCTGCCGTCCCTCTGTAGTCTAGTTCAAAACAGCTCCTGCAGACATCAGTTGGCTTAAAAATGGGAACTACAGAACTAATTCTTTTAGAATAGGTATATATACCGTATTTTCACGACCATAAGGCGCACCGTACTAAAAGGCGCAGTCTCGGTTATGTGTGCCATTTCTGTATTTAACACACACATAAGGCGCACCGGACTATAGGGCGCGTTTTTTATATACAGGTACATGTCCTCTACTACCTTTAAATAGCTCTACTGCGTATTTAAAAATACAGCGGGCCCAAAACTGAGTATGACTGTGCTTTATTCATGTATTTATTACAAAGTATTAATCAAACCTGGGAGCTGGCCGTGAGACAGACACATCGCAGATGAAACAGCGCTGTGGTCACTCCTAAATTAACTTAAAATCCTGAAACCTGCCGACAGAATATGTTCGCTTTTATTACCGGTATCCTGGTGCCTGCAGTTTAAATTATTTAGATGAAAAACACCTGCCAGCCGCCGCGGTGAACCCGGAGGCTGCCCAGCCTAGAGGCTGCTGTTGAAGGGATTTCTGCTGTCGGTGCACCGCTGGTATGTGGGGGTCTGAGCGGCTCCGACAGAAATAGATAATCTGGATGAACTGACTGTAATTATTAAGTTTTCAGGTGGACTTTCTCACTTAAAAACATATTAAAACTACTTTATTCCCACTGATCACAGCAAATATAGCTGCAAGATTTAGATTATTTAGATGAAAAACACCTGCCAGCCGCCGCGCTGAAGAGGACTAGACCCGCCCAGAGGCTGCTGTTGCATTGAGTTTTCAGGTAGAAAAATAGAGCGGGAGCAAAACTGAGTATGATTGTGCTTTATTCATGTATTTATTACAAAGTATTAATCAAACCCATCAAAGTCATCATCCTCTGTTTCTGAATTAAACAGCTGCGCTAAATCAGACATGCCAATTTCCCCTTCTTCGCTGTCAGAGTCACTTTCCGTGCAGCGCGGCTCCTCAGAAATAATGCCGGCTTTTGCGAAAGCTTGAACAACAGAGCCAGCAGACACGTTAGTCCAAGCATCAACAATCCATCCGCAAACTGTGGCGTAACTTGCCCGGCGCTGCCTTCCACTTATCCTGAAACTGTGCTCTCCGTCTGTCATCCATCGCTCCCACGCCGCTTCACACCGATGTCGAGCGGTTGAAGTTCCTTTGTCAGACCCCCGGGATAACGGCGAGCACAGCGTTTATTTTTTTTTCACCATGCTTTTCACATCAGCTGTGAGATGGGCACGCAGCGATGGTGATGCGTGGAAAAAACCACCTGGTCTCCTCACATACACCTGCCTCAGCCACGCTTTCATCATCTCCTCATCCATCCAGCCCTTTTCATTTGCTTTAATATCATATGTCATCAGAGCGCTGTGTCTGTCTCGCTGTCAGCTCCCAGATCAGCTTCTCTGATTGGTTGATGCGGCGCGTCCAGCAGCAAAACTTTAATTTTTCCATCTCGAGCAGCAGCAGCGTGTTGGCGGCGCGCTCCCGACGTGCTGCGCCTGCTGCTCAAAATGCGCTGCGGGACCTTTTGCTGCGCCTATACGCTCGTCAACCGTTGACTTTGCATGTAAACTCGCTGCTTCTGCTGCACCTGCTGCATCCGGTTCACAGCGAGCCCAGCATTAATTTGTTTCCCCATGTTTTTCACATCAGCTGTGAGATGGGCACGCATGGAGTCAGATTAACAGCGATGGTGATGAGTGGAAAAAAAAACACCTGGTCTCCTTACATTCAGTCACTCTTTCATCATCTCCTCAATGAGGTGGTCTCAAAAGTCGCACTTGCAACACACATAGGGCGCACCGCACCATAGGGCGCACCGCACATTTTGAGGGGAAAAAAAGACGTTTATGTGCGCCTTATAGTCGTGAAAATACGATATTAGGGTGAGCATATTTAGATTTCCATAAAGAGGACACTTTGCTTTGCCTCCAGACGGATTCAGACAGGCTTCTCAAAGGTTCATCAACAGCTTTATTATACCTAAATGATACAAAAATAACCTTTGTAGTAAAACTAAATCTGTAACAACCAGTAACAAAATTATAGCTCTCTATTAAAATTAAAACCATGTTCTAAACATGACCTCTTCTGTATTAGTAAATACAGCTTCAACAAATGTTCCCAGGTCTAACAAAGTACTCAGTCAACTTTGCAGAATAACTCTCACCTCTCAGAGCTTTTTCAGGCTTTTCAGTGTCCATGTGAGCTTTGAGATCTGCAGCACCTTTATTAGACACTGAAACTAATGAGCCAGCTTTGAACACAGAGGAGCAACAGGAAAGACTGGAGAAGACAGAAGGTGAATGCCATTAAACTATTTATTTTACAGCTTTAGTTTGGCTGAAAATATCAGAGAAAACATGAAAATGCATTAATACATTATTAAGACAAAGGCTTTTTACCGAGTTAAAGCAGGTTCAAACTGATCAGTAAAATAACAGCAACATCATCATTCTAGTTTATCTTTTTAAACAAACATGTTTCATCATTTTAGGACTTCAATTTACCTGAACTACAGACTCCAGCCTCTAAACTGAGTTCTTTGATGTCCCGTAGTTTAACCCCATAATCCCAGCACCCCCTTTCAAGGTGGCTGGAGCTACTTTGCAACATTAATTAGCTTGTAGCTGACTAACTCTGAGACTGACACACACTTCTATATGTCCCAAATCTTCATCTGAGACTCCTCTATAGATGATCTACTTCATTCTAATATCTATTGACCATAGCTCTAACACTGTGGCTAAAACAAGCCAACAAGACACTGAATTAGCTAAATTCTGATCATGTGCAGCTGACCTTTAAAAAATCCTCCAAAAACATCAGCAGAACTGAGCAAAGCACATTAAATCTGTCCTAGCTTTGCTTTTATTTTCATCTGAATTAAATTATGTTTCTGGAATAAATCCAACCAATAACTTATCATTCAGCTAAATTCTAAATCTCTAAAATAAAACTTGTGAGTTTTTATTCTAAATACTTTAATTGTAAAAAGTTGTGCTACACCATGCCAAAATGTTACAGCAGGGTCCATCTGGATCAGCAAACTTGCTTCATCTGTAACCAATGTTACAGATGAAATGTTGTTTATCACTTTATTATGTTTATTCCCTTCATAACAGAAAAAGTGAAAAATTGTGAATGTAAACATCTTTTTGTCAGGACAACGTTCTTTTTTTTACCATTTAAATTTCCTCAGGCCCAAAATTTTTACCTTTCATATGTTCACATCCACATATTCACCCAGGACCTGAATATTTACCAGGTTTACATTATAACACCTTATCTGTTCTAGTTTCTATGTGAAATGAGCTTTATTAATTAACAGCTTCATCAAAACTTTGCTCAAAAGATCATTAACTGTGGGTTTCTCATGTAATGAGGTGAAGATGTCTAGATAGACATTTTATGACAAGTCAAACAGAAAACGCCTCTACTGTTCATTCCTGTGGCGTCTAACTGCTGTGATTAATATGAAACAAATGTTTAAATATATATATATAAATCATTCAACATCCTGCATGAATAACTGTCACCTGAAGACTCAAATTACCTTCTTGTTTAAAACCTTTGTCACAAATGTATGTGATTGATGTGTGAATCAAGACTAGATTTATGAGTGAAGCTTGTTCCACAGTACAGACATGAAAAAGGTTTCTTACCTGTGTGAATTCTCATGTGTGAATCAAGACTAGATTTCTGAATGAAGCGTTTCCCACAGTATAGACATAAAAAAGGTTTCTCACCTGTGTGAATTCTCATGTGTGTATCAAGACTACATTTCTGAATAAAGCATTTTCCACAAGACAGACATACAAAAGGTCTCTCCCCTGTGTGAATTCTCATGTGTGCATCAAGATGAGATTTCTTAATAAAGCTTTTTCCACAGGACAGACATTCAAAAGGTTTCTCACCTGTGTGAATTTTCATGTGTGCATTAAGGTCAGATTTTTGAGCGAAGCTTTTACCACAGGAAAGACATTCAAAAGGCTTCTCCCCTGTGTGAATTCTCATGTGTGCATCAAGATTAGATTTCCGAGTAAAGCTTTTTCCACAGGAAAGACATAAAAAAGGTTTCTCCCCTGTGTGAAATCTCATGTGTGCATCAAGATGAGATTTCTGAGTAAAGCTTTTTCCACAAGACAGACATTCAAAAGGCTTCTCACCTCTGTGAATTCTCATGTGAATAGTCAAATTTCTCTTTTCAGTAAAATTCTTGTTACAAATGGTACAGGAAAAAGGCTTCTCACCAGTGTGGAATCTCATGTGTCTATCAAGATTAGATTTCATAGTAAAGCGTTTTCCACAAGACAGACATTCAAAAGGCTTTTCACCTGTGTGAATTCTCATGTGTGTATCAAGATTAGATTTCATAGTAAAGCGTTTTCTACAGGACAGACATTCAAAAGGCTTTTCACCTGTGTGAATTCTCATGTGTGTATCAAGATTAGATTTCATAGTAAAGCGTTTTCTACAGGACAGACATTCAAAAGGCTTCTCACCTGTATGAATTCTCACATGTTTATCAAGACCAGATTTCTTTTTGAACATCTTTCCACAGGACAGACATTCATGAATCTTCTGACCTTTGTGAGTTCTCATGTGAACCATTAAATGTTCTTTATTTAGAAAAGTTTCTCCACATGTCAAACATGGGAAAGGTTGTTGCTCTTCCTGCTCACTAATGGGGAGCTCCATGGTTTCCTCTTTTGTGCAGGGATGTTCTGGTTCTTGCTGCTCTTCTTTTATCTGCAGAGGTTCCTGTTCCTCTTGGTCCAAACTGGAATTCCTCTCCTGTCCACAGAGCTGCTGGTCAGAGAAATCCTCCTCTTTTCCAACATAATCCTTTAGCCGGTCTGGAAAGACAAACACAGCAGAATGACTTATTATTGCAAGTTAAAGAAAGGAAACCTCACATAAAAGCACCAAACTCTGTCCTTCAGTTTGGGGGGCAAGTGGATCCTTTAATCATCATTGTGTCAATCTAACTACATACAAACAGACTGGAACTACATCTCCCATCATGCAACCTGATAGTACAGTCACAGGTTTGGACCTCTACTTTGATCTTTAATAGGGGTGGGTTTAAAAATAAATAAATAAATTTAATCGATTTTGGATCGATTCCAGTAAGATTTAACAAAATCGGTGTGTAGGGAATGAGATCGATTAGTTTTATAGAGACGTGAGTGACGTTGATATATAAGAGCAGGTGTGGGCAAATGCAAAATGGCCGACGCCAGTAACACACCGCTGGGCAAGCCGTCCCAATTAAAGTCTGACGCCTGGAACCATTTCGCATTCAAAAGAACTAAAGACGATGTGGTGGATAAAGCCAAACTGTTCTTCAAGATCTGTCAAGCGGAGGTCAGTTACTGTAAATAAACTACAAATCTCCAAAATCACTAAGGGTGTGCAAAATAATCGTCATGACGATGCATCGCGATTCTTATTTTTGTGATCTACTGCATCGATTCTTGAAGGCATGAATAGATTATAAAAAAAAAAAATGAACAAATAAAATACATTAATGGCTGGCGCACATCAGCCAAATCAAGTGGAATACAACTTCCAGTCCAGCAGATGTCGCTGCGGATGTGTTTTGGACGCCCACTGCTTTGTGTCACAAGCATGTCCGGCCATGGGATACTGCGACGAGTCATAATAAAACTAATAAAACGATAAAACATAATAAAACGAAATAAAACATGGAGGACACTATGAAAATGCGCCCTGCGGTTCCATCACATTTCAAGTCGGATGCTTGGATGCATTTTGGCTTTAAAAACAAAGAAGGTAAAAATGAAATTGATATGATGAACGTCATTTGCAAAAAGGGAAATATACATTTGAATGTTTTCGTTTCATTGGTTTAAAGGACCACTGAGGCCATGTAAACGGCACTGATTATCCTTATTTTGTTATTTTAAGTTTGATGAATCCTAAGATCTTTTTGTCAGTGTCCACACCAGTAATAGTAGTATTTGTGCCCTGTATTTGTTTTCATGGCAACACCTCCAAAAGTAATTTCAATAAATACAGCTATGTATGAATTCAGTTGCTTTCAGTTATGTATCAATTGAAGACACTATCCAGATCACACCCAGCCAGTCAGCCACTGGTAAGGGCTGTATCTTTTTCTGACAGTGTTCAGTGAAAATATCGCAATGCATTGCAATATTTCAAGTATCATGATGCATCGTGATAGAATCGCATCGTGACATGTGAATCGTGATTCGAATCGACTCATGACTTCTTTGCCAATACCCACCCCTAAAAATCACCTGACAAGATATCATGCTATGCTAAAATCTGACAACAAACCTTCCAAAACTACACAAAAAAAAAATGGAGGAACTCGATAGCATTACCAGCAAATTCTCTGCGGGCCATCAAGATAACTGAGGCCATCGCAACTTTTGTGTGCAAAGATTTACGGCCCTACTCTGTGGTGGAAAATGAAGGCTTTAAGCAGCTTGTTCATGTGCTCCAACCACACTATGTCATGGTGCAACGCAAACATCTGACTGACACCGTTATCCCCATGATGTACACACAAGTGAAAGGGGACATCCAAATGAAAATGCAGTAAGCAGAGAGAGTCGGCATAACTTTTGACACATGGACATCATTGTCAACGCAGTCCTACATGACACTACATTGACAATCAGTGGCGCCTCGTGTCTCATGTCCTACAGGCCACTGAAGTTACCTTGAGCCACACTGCTGCAAATATTGCTGATATGTTGACGGGGGCCAAACAGAAATGGCGGCTGAGCAGCAAACACCCAGCAGTTGTCATGGACATTGCTGCAAATATGGTTCGTGCAGTGGAATCAAGGCATTCATTCATTCATGATTAAAAGATTGGATTACAAAGAAAATTACTAAATTTAAGAGTTATGGTATGCCCAATCTTTTTTTCTTGTCCAATTGAACAGCAAGATAATAATGGCAATGATACAGATGAAAAAACTGAGGAAGCTTTGCCCAAGAAGCCAAAGAAATCCAGGACCTTGGAGTCTCTCCTTGGGACAGTTAATTTACCAACAGTAAAGGATCACAGACTAAAAACTCCAGCAATAAGGGCTGAAGATGAAGTCAGAAGATGCAAAGCTGAATCTCCTGCAAAAAAGAAGATAGGGCTGCAGGGCTGAATGAGAATCCTCTGATCAGGTGGAAAGCAAATGAAAGGGAGAATCCACTGTTGGCTCACCTTGCAAAGCATTATCTTTGTGTCTAAGGGACCAGTATCGCATCAGAGAGGTGATGGGAAATATTGCCACAATGGAGCCAAATTTATTGGATGAACCATCTAAGACCATCCAACTTTTCCTTTTTCACAAAGAGATCTGCTAGGACACACCCTTGCCACAAAGGCAGCTGTACAGCCAACCATGGGAAACTGGTGAGCCTAATGGCTACGGAGCAACATGGCCACCAGTGCACCATGAGCGGCCTCACATGCCTCCAAGGAGGTCAGAGCAGAGCTTTCCAACCTACCACAACAGTAGCTGGCTAGAGCTCTCAGATGAGGATTCAGACGGCCAAGCTCCAATCCCAGAACAGGATTATGAATGTGACAACTTGAATCCCTCGCCCACGACATAGAGTGTTTTGACCCCAGCAACACTGAATCCACTATTGAAGACTACCTTAGAGAGGTAGAACGCTGTCTTTTAGACTTACCCCATCCCTCTGCCCGGGAGCAGATAAAGCTAATCTGGAAAACTACTTCAAGAAGCGTGCATGTGTTCATAGAGAGCCTCCAGCCCTCTGTTCAAGACCGCTATTCCTCTCTTTGTCAAGCTGGAGGAAGACCACTCACTAAAATATCTTTTCCTCCACAATCTTCAAGACGAAAATGGATCACGCAATCGTGATACCGGCCCCCAAGAAAGGAGAGCTTTCCAGGATTGGAGGACTTAACAGAATAGAGAAGTTGGGGTTGGAAGTCTCAAACCCCAGCTGAACATGAAAATCCTCCAGAAAAACCATACCTGAAGCCTTCACCAGCATGAATAGGCGGGGACTTACCTTCCACAACTTCCTTATTACACTTAGTGGAAAAGGAAGGTCCAGGTGGAAAACCCCCAGAATCCCCTCAGATCTTTTCAGGAAAGACCTCCATTTTGGTCCACCTCTTTTCAGAGAAGACCAATCCCCACTTAGAAAATCATCCCTACCAGGAAGTCAGAGACATTTCTCAGGATGCAAGATCAGAAAATGTGTCTTACTTAGACTGTGCAACCGGTTCTGGCCTGTTCAGGTCAGCTGCTGCCCATAGCTCACCTGCAGAGGTCCAGGGAGGCTGCAAAGCAGCCCGACATGCTACCTAGCAGGTGACACATCAATCGTCTCCATAATCTGACAGCAAACAGATGTGTTCCTCAGAACATTCCATCTGCTGTCAGCTCCCATCATCAGCCCCTTTGGAACAAACTCCTCCTAAGCAAAGGGGGGTTACATCCTTTTGGCTCAATTTACAGATGAACTGGATCAGACCAGTTCTCATCCCGATAGAAGGTACTCAACATCTTGCATTTGTAACATTCTTCTTCATAGACAGGTAGATAAAATGAAATGCAACCCAGAATCCACTTCTGCCCGTGGAATGGAGTGTTCCTCCATTCTTAAAAACACATGTGCATAGTACTGTTGGAGTTATTATGATTTCTGTTGTTTTTATCATTTTATTCATTTATATGTTTTATATTCCTCTCAATCATTTGTTTTTACTATATGTTACTCTCTTCACTGGAAATAGTGTATCCAGGTCATAAGACGGTCAAAACTTTTGCAAGAATGCTTTCCTGTTTTTCATTTGAGAAGCACAGAAGTGGAAGTTCATAACCCCGACACCTTTTATAAAGCGTATACTGAAACCAGACAAGCTCCCTATCTTAAAAGTTCATGCTATGTCTAAGAGATTGCATAATGGAAACTAACGCCTGCTGTTGTAATGTATTGACTGCTCAATAAAAAGCCCGGCAAGTGTTGAGCCAAGCGGAGATGCAGAGAGTGATTCTTCAACTCTGCCCATCTCCCCTTTGCAAAGCATTACAGGAAAAATCTTACACTGTCTTTGTTTCGTTTTTTTACAGGTTAAAGTTGGGGAAACTTAACCTTAACATCTTGGTGCCACGACCCAGATCCCAACATACCCGCTCACTGACGGAGGGAGGAAGACATGCTGAAAACTACCGGCAGTCAGTGTCTCATCAGAGGGGGCCTGTTTCAAAGTCCCGGGAAGTGAATTCTTCACCAGACCAGCGCCGTAGGTTGAACTCCTTCTGCCATTGACAGATTGACGGGATCCGATACCAGAACAAGGACAGGCAGACCAAGTAAGATTTTTGCCTTTTTTGGGTCAGAGTCCCATGCACTCTAGGGGTGTTGCCCAAGCTTGGATGTGGCTTCAGTTGGTTGCAGACAGCTGGGGCAGGTTAATCCATCAGATTTTGTTAACAGGCTGTTATATAGCTTGTAAACTATATCGTGAGATTACTTGTCACTTGCTTGTTGTCGGTTGGAGCAGTTCATTTGAGTTGGAGCTTTTTGGAGTGTAGTGGGTAAAGGTACCAAGGGACTCACAGGGTTGAGGTCCCTGATAAAAGTGCTCTCGGAGCAAGGCTGATAGAGCCATAAGGTAAAGGTACCAAGGAAATAAAAGGGTTGAAGTCCCTGAGAGAAGCGCTTTTGGAACAAGGCTGTTGGAGCCCTAAGGATACCTAGGTTATGGGATTGCAGTCCCTAGTGTGCGCAAAATAGAAGTGTAAACCGGTTATAGATATAATAATAATAAAAATAATAACACAGAACAGAGTAGTGAAATAAAAAA